GGCTTTGCAAGGAGTTTGCCCGCAGTTGCCCGCCCACCCACCCGGTGCAGGCTGCATGCTAGCCGGGAGTTACCGTGCTACCTCGGGGCCATGCGGGATGGAGGGTGTGGTGTAAATGGCTGGGACCGTGCAGCCGTTAGGAGCCAAGAACATTATTAGCATATAATTGCTGGGCAATTATTAGCATATAATTGCTTGGTCTTGAGACGCAAGACCCATCACCTGCCCCTACTGAGAAGAACAAGCGATGGACTGAGATAAGGAAACTTGTAGCAAAATTTAGTGAGGGATTCATATCTAAGAGAAACACGAGTTGCTGATGCCTGATAACTTTCCAGAAGTTGACAACAGAAACATCTGGATCAACAGATAAGCCGTGAGGATGCTGATGGATGCTGCGGTTTCAAGACCTACAAAAGTACAGTTGCTTTGCTGTACCACATTTATGATTGGATGATTAGAAATATACATTAGTAAGTAGTTAGGTGATTCATATCATACTCTTGTATAAACCCCTAAAGAAAAATCCCTGGGGTGTGCCCAGTTTGGCTGGGGCAGCTCATGGGATGAATAAATATTTACCATTGTAATTCCCTAGTTTGTGTCCTACCCTCTCTCTTCAGTCAGCACAGGACACTTGAGAATTTGTAACAAGAGTGCGATGGGAGCATGCTTTGGTTCCTCTCTCTTCTAATGGATTGCACTGTCCTGGACTAGAGTTTCCACCTCTAGCGTTGCGTTTCTGTTGGCAATCTTTGTTCTTCCTGCTGGGGCAGGGCAGGTTACAAGGAGCAACACCAGCAGGTAGCTGTCCTTGGGATGTGCAGGTTCCTAGGGCTGCCTGTTCCTGGGCAGCTGTGGGAAAGATGGTGCCTGAGGGGAAAAGGAGCTCTCCGCAGCTTCTCTGGTTCACAGTCAGATTGAGGTCAGCAGCTTTGGACAATACCACGGCTTAATGGTGGGTTAGGATAGGGCAGTGGAGGCAGGTTTGAAGAGCTGAAGTCTTCCTTAGGAAAAGACTAATCCAAGGAGTTGGGTATTTCCCCATCTCCCCTTCAGTTTCAGGTAAACAGTTAACACAGGGAAGTATTTTGAAGAAAACAAGGCTCACCACCAGAGACCCAAAGTTTAAAGAAAACCAACTCAATTATGTATTAATAATCAAAATTAATTGAGTAGATATAAAAGCTGAAGGCACGTACTTAGTCTCCTTCAGTAATATGAAACCCTTATAAAGAAACATACTGAATTCTAGCTGTGCCTAATTTATTTGACAGCACTGCTATGTATATCACACAGCAGCTAGCATCTAGGTGTCCATATGCTTCAAGCATTACATACATATATATTAAAAAGATATAAAATATACATATGTACAAAAGAAAACACTTTTCTCTCTACCCTTTGGTGAACTGTTTGCTCATGCAGACCCGGTGTGGGATTTTTTAATTATTAACCTCATAGTGTTTTTCGTTCTTCGTAGATACTGATACAATTCCATCTTAAGGTTGTTTTTTTTCCATTGGCATCCTGTTCCATATTCCATTATACCTGGAACTCGATGGGGTTTTGTCCTTGTCTTCAAGACACAGCGGCTAAGATGCTGAGTCTTAATGTTTCCTGATTGTCTCCTCAGTGCTAATAATCACTTCATCTGAGCAAAATCAGTACTCTATTCCCTGCTGCCTGTCATTTCTTGAACGTCTTCCCTATGACTACTAAACTCCTTTTTCTTTCTGTTGCAAAAACACATGTTGAAAGTATTTTCATAAGAAATACTGTTGAAAATAGTTCTGAAGTTTGGGGGGTTTTAATCTGAAGCATAGAAATAACTTCTGCGGTTATATGTATGTTTGAACTGTCAGTGAATGTGCCTGAAATGATTACATTAACTATGTTGTCCTAGATCTGTAAACTGCATCCTGCCTCATGCTTCCTAGTATAAGCTAAGCCATCTCACCAACTGCTCGGGGTTGGTTAGTAAGACCTCAGTTTATGAATACTTACTTTTACAAGTGCAGCTTTACTGAGGGAGGCAGTTTAGTCATTCTCATGATACAAAACTCTGGGAAAACCGAGGCTGCTTAATGTGAAAAAAAATCAATTTATTTGCTAAAGAGGACATTTAGCAAACAGACTTTCTCAGGTCTTTATAGACTGGTACAGTCTGGTACCTGGAATTTGAAAATAATCTTAAAATAAAATTTCATGAGGTGTTACTGTTTATACATTCTGTTCATTTATTCTTTCCTCCTCATACACATGAACTTGCCTCCTTATGTTTTAAGACGTATGAGAAAAATCTTAGTGCCCCTCACCTAGTATTTACAGTGCTGACTCCTGATTAAATCAGGTTGTATTTTCTTTTCCATTCTATCATTTGGCTATATGACCTTGGTGAAATCACTTTGTCCTCTTTGCCTCTTCAGACTGGTTTGCCCTCGGGGCTACAGATTATTTCTTACTACAGTTGTATTTAAGAGAATGATCTGCAATTACTGTTTGAACAGCTATTATAAAAAACAATTTTTTACTATTTCTAAATAGGAGA